TTTTTTATAAATTTGTTTTTTTTTCATAAAATTGTTTACCATAAAAATACTTATAAATCTTTAGCGTTTAATTGTTAAATTCTATTTTTTATTAAAAGTTACTGGCGCTAGTTTTTTCGTGCTAAACGAGTCTCTGAAAAGTACGAGCGGGCTTTCGGGCAAATGCAGCATCGTCGAAGATGGCTTAATGGTGCAAGTATTACCCAGCAAAATGGAAGAAATACGAAATTCTCTACAAAATCAAAAAGATGTGGAAATAATATGCGGTCCGGTGGACGCCGATGACCAACAAACTGAGGTTGTGAGCATCAAATGGGTGGAGAACGACACCGATTTTAATGTTGGGTAAATGTTTGAACACAACACTAAAAAACAGCATAATGAAATGAATAAATGCTAATTTCCAGCGTCAAATCACCCATTGATGAAAAATCCATGGAAGGTATTTCCAGCATGCGTGTGCACGATAGTTTTAACTACGCGAACGCTAACTACGCTATACGGCTCACAGATATTTATATACTTAAAGTGAGTGTAGTAACAATTTCCTAAACAATCTTCAAAATTAAATAATTATTTAATATATGATTTATAACAGTATGACGAATGGTACACATCTGCGCAGTCTGCCTTGGCAGCCACTTCCATGGACATCACGCGCATGGCCGGACAAATTGCGCGCAGTGCATGTGTCGCATTGGTGCCCTTTCTTGATCTGCTGGTAGCAAGTGGCAGCCGGAAGTTAGCTTTGCGTGCAACCCTCCATCAAGAGAATGTAAGTTGTAAAGATAACGAAAATTACCTTCAATACTCACATAAATGCTTTGCAGGTTTGCTACGAAGCTGGCACACGCGGCAGCAAGCTCCCTCCGCTCTATATGAATGCTTTGGACGACAATTTAATACCGACATTGCATGGCGAATCGTCCGGCATTGAGGATGCAATAATATTAGAGTTAGTTTTTTACATTTTAAATTGCTAGTCTATAGTATTCTAAGCGGAATATTGGATATGTGAGGCAGTATTGCAAATAGTGGAGATGAGCGCATCTCTACGCTATATATTACTATAACTGATCTATAAAGTTAGCGTTAAAGCTTGAAGAAACATAACATGCATAAACTCGTAAATTGGGAATGTAGGCCACAAAAAAGTTGTTACTTTACTCTGGCATTGGCTTAGCTATGATCAAAATATGCGAGAGGCAACTAAATTACGACAATTGGCAATATAATGGAATGTAGTTAAACAAATATTATCATTTAATCAGCGCTGAGACATTTAGCATGTATTATGAGTTCTTTTTATCAATAAGGCTGCTTTAAAAGCTAATTTTGTTGGTATGGGGGGTCACACATACACTTGTGTGTATATTAAATATACGTAGTTACGATGATTAGATACCTTTTTGTGTAATTTGTTTGTAGTGTAAAGAATAATATGTAACTAAACGAATTGTATCTTCATTTTATTGGAAACTTTTATTTCTTTACGACAAAATTTTACAAGAAATAAAGTACCTATCTTATTAGCAATTATATAAACAAACTATATTAGTATAAAAGCAAACGAGTTATTTCATTTATAGCTTTAGGGAAATAATTAAAATAAACTTTCCTGCAATTAGAAATTCCTTAATTTGAATGGCTGTATAATTGTCTAAGGGATTTGGATCAAATCCACAACTGAGAGTAAAACATAAAATCAAGCCATAAAGTTTGGAAAGTTCTACATTCCTTCACTCTTCATTCAACATACTTTCATATACGATATTCACTTTTGCCAATTCGAAGATAGATATATTTCAGTGAGACGAAAGATTCATTAAGTGAGAGACACAAACGTATTTCAAAACAAATTTCTTTTTTTCGCTTTAAAAATAAACTCATTTTGAACCAAAACAAACAGGCCAGTGTTGAATCCAATTTTCCTTTCCCTTGTTATGAGCCTCGGTTGGAGTGTTTTCAGCGAATTTCACTAGATTATTGAACATTTTGGACATCATGTTACTAAACCCCCTTTTCGTGATATATTTGATATACATTTGGCTACGTTGTCTCTATTGTGGTCTTTACGCGGCGTCCTATTTGCATAGAGTTCAGGTCTCTGGTACAAGTCATTGACACGCTTCATACCAAAAATATTAACTAAGGTCCTCTGATATCTATCTGATGTCAATACATTGATTTTGAAGCACTGTTTATTTAACTTTTTCTATGTTATCGGCATTAACAGGGGTGAATGGAGATGGGCGCCTCGCATGGGGCAAGTTTCAGTGACTTCACGACCTTCACTAAAATACTTGTATTCGTTGTAAAGTACATTCCTCAAGACACTGCTGCAATATTTTCAATGCCACCTTAGCTCACAGTGCATATTGGAGACACAAAATTACAAGTAAACTAATAAAAAAATGTTTCATGGTAAAAATCACCACACAAACCTTTCGCGTTGTATACAAGCAGCTGTGAAACAAACATTAATTAACACGTGGAGATCAAACCTCACACGAATATAAAAAATATTGTACCAATCTAGAAAATATATTTTTAATCAATTGGTTTCCGCGCTCAGTTTAAATAGATCAGTCCGAGTCAAATTTGATCAGATGATATACTCACAGATCAATTTCTTTCGGATATTTTTCAAATTATTTTTCCATATACATATGAGGGGCACACTAAACTTTTAATAAGAGACTAATATTTTTTTAATTTCATTTAGCCATTTTTCAGATTTTATGGACATTTGGCAGACCGATCCCCACTAGAGTAATAGAACGTTAACTCCAACATTTCAGATTTATCACTTATTAAATATACAGGTTGATCCAATCAAGGTTCCCTGATTTTTTTAAGGAAAAGCAGAAACTTCAAATTTAATGGGGAATATTTATTATCATTCGAAAGAGCATTCTTTGACATTTATTTTTTGAAGATTATCTCTTTCAAATTTTGCTCGCGGCTACGTGTCAGATCGTCCGTCCGTTGAGCCGAATTTTTGGACGACTCGTACGAGCATTTCGACGAAGATGGATTGTCCGCATAGATTTTAGACTTTACATATCCCCACAGAAAATGTCTAAAGGTGTGATATCATACGACCTTGGTGGCCATTGGCCCGTCCCAAAAATAATGCAAAACAGCTGAACAAAAATAACATTACAGCTTGACATGTCTCACGCTTCATCGGTCAAAAAAAAAAAATATATATTTAAAAAAGTAAATCTACTTGCAAACAATGTTATTGCTTTCATTGTGGCAGTAATGGAGAATAGAGGAGCAGTACTTTCATAAATTAAGTACGTTCCTCTTTATTCGAATTATTGCGGTCTTAGGACTTCTACGTGTGATGTACTTGTGAGACTATGTCTACTAGAATTTAAAGCATAACATAATAATTTCGCCTTCCTTGCTTCATTTGAAAAATACGCTCCCCTTCCCGCCCTTTCTATCCACGAATTAATTTATATTAGAACAGCGGCTAAACAGAAGTTCAAATCAATATCTCGGAAGGCAGTATTCAGTGTTTTCTGAAATATTTTCCAGAACCTAGAGTCTAGTCAAAAAAAAAAAACAAAAAAAACGGATAAGAAAAAAAAATTAATATTTTTTTAAATAAACTTTATTTCACATTTTCCTTCATCTAATACAATATTTGCCATAAAAAATGCTTACACATATTGTAAAACTATAAATTTTCCACCAAAATCAGCATTGCTCGTATGTACAACATAAATTACAATGTTAACGTTTTACTTAAGTGTGTATTGTTGTTTGCATGTGAAAAAGTACAAAGAAAATAAAATCATTAATTTAAAATGCGAATCGCATTATTGACTATAAAAGCGAATAATGATGAAAAAATAACAAAACACAATTTGTTTGTGGACTTTTTATAGCTAAGTAGTGCCTGTTCCTTGATTTTGTTCTAGGCCTTGCTTTAAAATTTTTGAAAGATGAAGATTCTTGTGTCGCGGTTATAAATAAAAGTATTTGCAAATTTATTTAATTTCATTTCAACGCTTGCGTGTAAAAATATTTTATGCACATACCATACATATGTATGTACATATGTTTAACCTCATTTTCCTACAATGCAATTTGTTAATCGTTTTTTAATTATTATTTTTTTTAAGTTATGTTTGTATATTTTTGTGAACGTATGTGCGCGTGTGTTTGCGTTGTTGCGAATGTATGAGTGTGGGATGAAGCGTACGCTTCAGCTACCCATTAATATAACTACTATTGTACAAGTATATTTGGCAACCTTGCCACCACTCGCCAGTCGCCGTTGACTTAGAGTTCGTCATGTTTGGGACCGGAGAACTCGTCGTGTGAGATGAAACCGTTCTTGTCCTTGTCTTCGTGTTGGAAGATCTCCTCAACAAGTTTGTCGTTCTCCTTGAGCATGTTTTTCAGTTCCTCTGAGTCTTGACCTTCAACGGCGGTCATTTGTTTCTTAAGATATTCGCTGACCTGAAGGAAGGAAAAAACATTAAATTATGGCAAAGTTTGTATAATACTGCTGAAATATGTATGTACATACATATATATAAGGTGCATAAATGATTATATAAATTAGTGTTAGTTTATCATGCAGTTTGGAAAAGTGTTAATGCACTGGAGGTTTTGCCCATGCCTCCTCATGCAAAGTCTACCCAAAACACACAAAGTTGATAGACTTGAGTACACGCAAATACATATATACTCAAAAAAGTGGTGTTTCATTAAATTGTACATTGTAGTTGTAATCTAATGTGGAATATCCAGAGGATCTTGGGATCTCATGTCACAAAAGAGTAATTTCACGTCCTCTTTAAACCTCAGACTGGAAGAAAATTTATTTACAGATTTGAATTTCTTATATTATTCAAAATCTCAATATAATCTCAGGTTCCGTACAGGGTTTGTCCGGAAAGTAATAGGAATATTTAAAAAAAATTTTTGAACCAATCGTTACAATTCTTTAAAAACTTTCTCCGGAATAGCCTTGAGAGCCGAGGTGCATGCTGCTTCGATCTCCTATCACCGGCAACTTCAGACAAAGAAACAAAAAAAATCTGGGGGACCACATGTGGGGTGTAGGGCAGCTGTGGAAGCAGTGGGATGCCGGCCTTGATTAGGTAGCTGTTTATAAGAAACGGTGTGAGACGGGGCGTTGTCGTGGTGTAACTTCTAATCAGCTGCTTTGTCTTGTCGGATCTGATTGACACTTTGCTTAAGTCTCTCGAGTACTTCCCCGTAAAACTTGGTGTTGACGGTTTGTCCCGGAGGAACAAATTTATGGTGGACGATGCCTTCGATGTCAAAAAATACAATGAACAACGTTTTCATTTTGGATTTGCTCATTCTTTCCTTTTTGGGGGAGGAGACGCCGCCCTGTACCACTTGGAAGATTGCCTCTTTGTCTCGGGATCATACTTAAAGACCCACGACTCATCACCTGTGATTACGTTATTAAAATGTCGCGCGAAAATGTTTGTTCTGACTCTCTAAGTACTTGGAGGCAACAGACTAGCCGATCATTCGTTAGCTAGGAACACCCCCTACCGAATACAGTCGGTGCGCCTACGGTCCGAAGTATAGTCGCGGCGGAAGAAAACCAGTCCTATTACTTTACGGACAAACCCTGTACTTCTACTCTTTCGAAAGAACAGTCCAATAATTTTGAAAAATAGTACAATGACGTCTGATACTAGGTAGCTTTTGTAGTTCCCTATATTCCAGAATTTTTACGCTAAAGTTAATATACATATACTACAGGCAGTGAAAGAAAGACGGGGGAGAGATCGTAACCAGGTTGTCTCTCTATCGCCCTGACTATATGTATATATAACCATGCATAATTTACTAAGTCATCATCACCACCATCACCAATTCCATTGAACGTTCAACATAACGTCTTAATGTAACTAATTACGTGGTGAAGAAAGTGCGATCCATACATAAACGTTTACCTCATCACGGCTCAGCTGCTTGTCGCCGTTCTCGTCGATCTCCTTGAAGACATTGGTTGGTGGTGGAGTGTTGCCGATATTGATCAATTCGACTTCAAAGAAGAGTGTGGCCTTTGGTGGGATGACGTTGCCAGCACCACGATCACCATAACCCAACTCGGGAGGAATGACCAATTTACGTTTCTCGCCTGTGCAAAAATGAACATATATATATATATAAATTATAAATAAATTATGGCTATAAAATATGGTAATTGTTATGGTAGAATATTATTTTGGACTCACCGACGCACATGTCCAGTAAACCCTGATCCCAGCCCTTTATCACTTGGCCAGCACCAATTTGGAATGTGAAGGGTTGATCGCGGTCAAAGCTGCAACGAAGAAGGAAAAAATGCATTGTTTAAAAAATATTTATAAGTATGATAATAAACACTTTAAAAAATTTTTTAGTTCTCTCTTGATACAAATCTTGTTACTTACTCTAACGTCTACAAAAGTCTCGTATATTTTCAACAAAAATTTCAAAAATAAAAATTTAAATATCGTTATGTTTATTAGCGTTTAATACCTGTGCCACAACCAATGAAATAATTCCTCATCAGCCTTATTCTGAAATTTACGATGTGAGAAAAAATTAATCTGCATCTCCGCCTTGGCGTGTGCAGTGGGAAAGGGTGATAGAGTCGTACGAAACAGCTCCAAATAGATGCGATGGGTAGTAGCACATGCTTTGCCACTCACACCAGACAACCCAAGATAATAAATGTACCATTTGCTGCCGAGTTAGCGACACCATCGGCACCCAAGACGAGCCAAGACGCTAACATAAGTAGAGGTGCATATTTGATAATAATTGAGTGCGATACACTCCATCAAACGGCGATATAAACACAATAACAGCATTGCAAAAAAGCGGAACGAATACACTCTCTCACACACACACTCAAGTCGTGTATGCTAGGACATAGTGCTAATAAAAAATTGAAGAGAAACGCGCGACAGGGAACAACTCGAAACCATCTTTCAAACACGACAGTCAGCCACAGTCAAGCGTCTTGACTGACATGGGGTGTTGCCGAATGGTTGGTGCCTCCCTTGCAGTTATAGCTTCTTAAGAATTTATGAAAAACAACCGTTATTATGTTACCCCCACAACGACATAGATGTGAGGCGGATGTTGATGAGTTTGCGGAAAACCAAATGTTGACATAATTTTCCTTTTTCAGAGTGAGAGTTGCTGAACTGATCAAACGAAATTCGTTACTTGCAGTGTTGGAGGAGAAAATTAATTAAACAAGAAACTTTATGCGCTACTTATGTATATCAAAAAATTTAATGGAAATTGTGCTCCATAGTGTTTATGAGAACTGTTTGATAAAAGTGAATTAAGAAGTGGTAAAGAACAAGTAAAATAGTATTATATTATTAATAATAATTGATTTGCTTAGATTAGATTAGGTTAGATGGTCGATCGAAGATCGCACATGGACTGATATATGTAGTCCTTTGTGAAGGCGAGAGGCTAGGCTTACTGAGGACAAAGATCACTAGATCGCTTTTGCAACAGTCCATTCATCGATGGGCTAGTCCACGCGAAGTAGAACACAGGAGGATACCAGAGCACCGACCCGCTCCCATTCTACCGATAGCGATTCTACCTTCGGCTTCCACGAAAGTTTCCCATCCAGGATTCCAGTATGAGCCCTAGATATTTCACTTTATCCGCCTGTTGCAAGCGGATTTGTACCATTTTTTGCGGCAGAGGTGTCTCTTAAACTTCTAGTAAATAAAACTATTTCGGTTTACTTGGTTTGATGGTGGGACTACTTCCGGTACTTAGAAACTTTTCTTCGACCATAAGTGCTACATAGTCTGCCTAGGCAATCACCCGGCAGCCACGATCCTCAATTTCATAGAAGAGGAGAGAAAACTCCTCTTAGTGGGGTTCCCCTACTCACGTTTTGTCGAGCGCCTGTTTTGCCCATTTCGTTTCACAGTCGCACAAAAGACTGATAAATGGCGTAAGAAGGAAAGAAAGGCGCTAACATGAATCGGGCAAAGTTTGTAGGGGACTTCACTCTCATGACAGGCGGGTCCATGTAACTGGGATGGACCTGGATTTTTAATCGCTCAAGAATGGTAACTTAACGTAACAACTCTTAGCTACAATGTGCAGAAACAAATATTCCAATGTCAATAGAGTCGGAGACCAATTAAGAAACAACATGCTGCACACTTGTCCTTAGATTCTTAAAAAAATTACAATTTAAAACAATATGTAAAAGCATAAAAAGTTCGAATGAAAGAACACAACTCCTGAACAACACTTTATTATTCGTTGTAAGTTGACATTAGCAAGGCGGGAAGTATTGGGAGCCACTGTTTTTGCCTCAACTTTGACAAGCAACAAAGTTAGGCGAACTTTGGTAAAAAATTAAAACTACACCAGCGGGAATGCGCACGAACGACACCGTTGTTGTAAGTAAATAAAACTCCAATAAAAAATATTCTTAACAGCCATAATGGAGGCGCAGTTTTTAAAAGCGATGCAACGATGGTCGGATAATGATAATGGATATTTTTTAAAGGAAAGGGACAAGCAGATTCAAGAGGATTTTTTTGAACTAGAAACTGTTGTGTTATATGCCCTGGGACAGTGATGGGACATACGGAAGAGTTTTTTTAACAACATTTTTTTTTTTGGAATATTTTAAATGAACGCTGTAAGAGTCAATTCCTTAAATAAAGATTAGTATTTACATTTTATGAGAACGCTACATGTGTAAAAAAATTTTTTTATAGCAAAGAAAAATAAATAAAATTCCTCAAGAGTATTTTTCACTCAGTTCATCTTAAGTTGAGCTCTAACTTAAATTATAATTTCGTTGAAGCACAATTTTTATAATTAATGTTTAACTTCAGGTAAAATTTCTTACAACACAAGCATCTTTGAATATTCTTTGAAGATGACATCCAACAATACTGTAAATTTATATCTATGGTTATGTCGCATCATTTTCAGCGCGTCACTTGGGACCGTTAAGTCGAATATGATTATCACGAGTTGTCCGCTGGCAGCGTGACTATCACCGCAGAGCTTACACGCCGCTGCGACAGCGCTGTGAAGAAGCCAGCTACTTGCCATACACTCTCCGCCATTCTTTGCTCACTTGCCGCTAGTTTCAGCTACAACTTTTATTTGCTGCTGCTGGAGAGCGCTTAAATATTTTATTTGGCTCTCTTGGGCTTTGTAACAATTCAAAAATATTGTATTTGAATTTTGCATACAACTTGACTGCTGTTCTTGTAGTTGCGTGTGTATGCTTGTGGTTGTGTGTGTGTGCGGGGTGACGCGCCTAAGTGTATGCTTCCCACGGTGATGCAGCTTTAGTGTCAAGCGCACATTATCCACCAAAATGCCGCGAAATTGTGGCGTAAAAGTGCCATAACCCCCGCCTTCACAAGGCGTGAAGTACATAGCCATGCGAAGGGGGGTTTTAAGCACTCGCATTTTATTTTTTTCACAGACAAATCTCCTGATGGTAAACAAGAAAGGCATGCCAAAACACAAATTTACAGTTATGTTGTACATTTGTTTGACATTCCACTCTAAAAACAAGCGGATTGTGCACACTTTGGCAGGGTTGCATGTATGACCGTGCGAATTTTTATTACACCATGCGACGTGAATTTCCAGTGTGATGTGTTTGTTTGCATGTATGTGTGATTGTATAAGCGTAGTGGTTTCTTTTTTACAGCGTAAGCAAGAGCAAATCATTCGCGCGGTTTAAGTGACGGCGTGCAATTTGAGTTGCTTAAAAATGCAAGTGTATTACATGTACACCTTTGCCGTTTACATGTTTACCGTTGTTCTAAACCTTCATTCATACGTTTAGATGTTCATGCGCTTAAAAAGAAGCGAATCGTATAAACGTAGATTTTATATGTTCAAATTTCAAATATGCTTTAAAGCACTTATGAACATACATACATACACACAGATATTGCTGTACATATGTTGCAACTTTGCCGGCATCATCAACAAGGCTTAGGTGTCATTTTAAAGCCGCGCTGATCCCCATAGATTTATGATTTAGGCTAGATAATTGTTATTTTCGCGACGTGTTGCAAGCATAAGCATATCTGTTATATACCTGGTACATATGTAGGTGGATACATACGTATATATACGTGCATATGATGTCAATTACTATACCCGCGCTTTGTGGATAACCGTTATAAATAAAATTTAGAAACGCAAACAAATTGGTGTTAAACGCTGCGATTTAGCTGATCAAACGATAGGTGAACGGCACATTTGCTGTTGCAAATACACAATGTAACAATATTTATGTTTATGCAAAAATCGTGCGTTAAGCATTTGCCGATATGAGCCAATAGAAGATTTGAAGAGAGAGAAACAGAGATTATTTAATTTTGTATGCGAAACAAAAAATAAAAAATTTAATAGTAAAATGTTTGCAGATTTTTCCTAGAATTAGTCTCAAAATTTAATGTGAAAAAAATGTGAATATGAATCGTCAGGCATATGCTTTCCAGTCGTTGAAACACTTTTCATTAGCACTTTTCGGGAGGGGCTTTATCTCTTCGATCGAATTGTTCTTCCACAATTCCGGCCCTTCTGGACGGATGCTCCCACGCAAACTCCTTATTGATCGCAGTGAACATCACTTTGATTTTTGAGCGGCTTTGGCGTGATTTTTTTGTGTTGGTGCAAACTCATAAACCGATGTCTCTGCGGCAGTTGTAATACTCTCCATGAATGTGGGATCGGAAATCGCACGATCGAGCATGTCCAAAGAGACCTGTTTACAGTACTCTTTTCAACATATCCACCGACACCGTTAGAAGGGAGAAATGTAAAGATATCTTGCCATTTCACTAACAATTGTCTGACGATTTTCAAGCACCATATCCTTCACTTTTTTTATTACTTTTATCAGTTGAAGAGGTCGAAGGTCGTTCAGAACGAGGCATGTCTTGAACGATCTCGCGACCATCTTTAAAGGTTTTGTACCACTTGTAGGCTTGTGTATTTGATAAAAACTGAATCACTATAAGCCTTTTTCAATATTCGAAATGAAATTTGGTTAGAAATACAAAATTTGAGATAAATTCTTTGTTCGATATTTTAATTCATTGTAAGAATCGCAACGCCACAAAATTTTATTTTTTTTTTAATCATTTAGCGATAAACAATTTAAGTTAGTATGAGAGTCTTTCAAGTCGCAAATTTTTTAATATTTTTTGATTTTGTTATGAGCATAACTACAATTTACTCTACCTGGAATAACACTCAACTCAGTACTTAACATCACTTGTTGAAGCTCATATCTTTTGCTCCAAGAAT